TATATTCACAGCGGCTGATGGGATCCTGTTGATTTTTAAGTCATGTTGGTGTATTTTGGTGAGCAGGTGCTCAGTGTTCAGAGTAAATGTGATTAGTGTTGAGTCTGATGGGAAACACTGCGTCTGGCAGCACTCAGCTTCTCTTACACAAACAAATCATTTCAAAATGTATTTTTGTAAAAATGAGATCATGACTCGTTCCTTGTATTCCTTTAGGCTAAAATAAACAGCTGAGTCAGAATAAATCTGTTTCCACCACATTCGGCCTTTTAAATCATTTCTATTCTGAATCAAACAGAAACTAAATGTTTGTTTTGAACCAAATAAGTCTTTTTTCTGACTTTATATCAAAGCTGAAGGTTAAATATTCTCCAACAAACTGAAATACATATATACTTGATTATATTTACTTTTCACCTTTCTTCTAAATGTCCAGTTTGTTGTTTACATGGAGGCGGAGCTATAATTAGTAAACAAAGGAGATGTCATAAAAAGTTGAAACAAATTCATATAACATATATAAATATGAATTCATAAACAGTTGTGTAAATATTACTGTGATCAAAGAGAACTTTTTATATTTTATTCATACAGTTGTTGACTTTAGGATCTTTATTTTAACAGGTTTTATTGCTGAGGTCATCAGAACCAGGTCTGATCATGTTTGGTAGTTAACTAAAATAAAAATATAAAAAGCTGAAAGGTGAGCATGGCTCAGGGGTCTCTCAGGACAGATGTGATGTTCCTGCAGCTGCACAGCGCCCTCTACTGCTGCTGGTCTAAGCCCTAACCTGCTTTCCCAGACAGAAGAATTMCTGAGCACTGGCAGGAAGACTTGGAGGACCTCCTTAATGATGASATTCACCGTGAGATGCTGAAGGTTCTGGACCTTACTCTCAATACTAATGATAAATGATTAACAACAATATACTAGTCATGCTTAATCAGTATTCAACAGAAAGTACAAGATWTAAAAAGTAWAATACTAGGAACTGAGATCAAACAGCRGAGTCAGATTCAGTCAGAAGATTTTATGTGGTGCATCAGCAGTCCTTCTGGTGTCGTGTGAAATTCAGTTCCCCTGTGAGAATCTGTTCCCCCAGTGGTTAACCAGAGGAAACCAGCAGCACAAAAGGCACTGCTGGGATTCAAACCCACGATCTCCTGTTTACCAGACAGGAGGTTCTGGATGTTGTGGGGCTGTCATGGTTGACACATCTCTTCAACACAAGGAGGACTGGGACAACACCTGTGGAGAGGCACACCTGGACTGGGACAACACCTGTGGAGAGGCACACCTGGACTGGGACAACACCTGTGGAGAGGCACACCTGGACTGGGACAACACCTGTGGAGAGGCACACCTGGGTGGTGGTTTCTTTCTTTAAAAAGGGTGTTTTCGATCATGGGATCACACTTCTTACCCGCCTCAGGAACGTTTACTGTCTGAAGTAAGACTGATGGATTACAGAACCTGACAGTGGTTCCTGACCTGGATGTGGCTGCAGATAGATTTACTCATTTTAATAAGTTTATGAAATATTGTTGAGGATAAGGTAGCATAACTCCCTGAAGGTTTAGTGTAACATAACCCAACTTCAGCTAATCCTGATTATTAATTAATAGTTGTTGTTTATCTCAGACTCTGATGACATCATGTTGAAAATCTCAGTAAATTATCAATACTTTAAATCAGAACAGAAAAACCTCAAATCAGTTCCAATTTCTTTACTTATATATTTTAACACCAACAAAATGTACTTCTGAATAATTTATAATTATGAAAATGTCCTCATATTGTTTATATGATGCTTGAAGCTTTAACAGCCAAAAATCTGTAAAATATGAGAAATGTTCTCATTTAAGAACCAGACTGATTCATGAGTTCATCTTGGAACAAGTTTTTGTCCTGTACAGCTGAACCGGGTCTAACCTTTGGGCAGAACTGGATCCAACCCTTGGGTTGAACCTGGTATAACGTTGGGGTTGGACCTGGTCTAACCCTTGGGTTGAACCTGGTATAAACCTAGAGTTGGACTTGGTCTAACCCTTGGGTTGAACCTGGTATAAACCTAGAGTTGGACTTGGTCTAGTCCTTGGGTCCTCTTCTTTCTACTTGTTCTTGCTGAGAGTCCTCTGTTTCTCTGCGTGCTCAACGATCTTCTCCTCCACGTACAGACCTTTCCGTCGGCGGACATCGTTCATGTATTTCAGGGCTTGGTTTACAGAATCTGCTTTCTCTCCAAAGTGCAGATATTCTTCTTCTGTGGTGGGAACCCAGTAAGGATCACTGCTGATCACCTGGAACACAAACGGGAAGAAAAAAAACAAACATAAGTACTGACCCACCCATTCCTCCAGAGACCCGTCTGAGTTGTGGTCTCATGTGAATCAGGTCCTGAAGGACACAGTAAATATCTCCACATACTCCATCTGMAGCAGAACAGTGGACACGTGGTCACGGGTCTGGACTATGTTCAGTATGACTCACCTCCCAGTGGCTGAAGACCAGCTGAGGACTGGCCAATCCGCTCGTTCTTTTACGGATCTCATCTGCGAAGCCAAAGCTCTTTGCGACGGGAAGAACTGCATTGATGATGAACATATCCGTCCCTTCTTTCATCTCCTCATGAAGAACTCGACCTTCTCGTTTCCCGAGGACACCGTAAACCCGTCCTGGTGGAAAAAACAGGGTTAGGAGCACACAGACCAAAACCTGAGAAGGTTCCTGCTGTCCATTTATCTTAGGTCAGTTTGACTTTGCTCTGAAGTTAGTGCAGCAAACAAAGAAACAAGCTGGCGGACATTTCATCTGTTTAAACAGTCAGAAAAGAAAGAGTCTGGTTTAAACTCAAACATTCAGACAGGCTAAAGACATGGTGAGTTTCAGGACTTTAAAGTCCTGTTGAGTCTGATCCAAGGTCCTCTCACCCAACACGTCTGCAGTGGCGATGATCTCACACGTGTACATGGCAGCCATGAGTCTCTGAGGCTGAGCYTGGAAGGCGTGACGACACACTTCCTTCATGGTGGCGATGAGCTGACCTGAAACTGGTCCATAGCAGTCTGAAGACTCTGTTCTACGTTCAGGGCCCGCCGTCCCGTCCTCGTCTGCTGAAGCCTGACAGGGTTTAGAGTCGTCCTTCGGGGGGTTCTGATGAGCTGCAGACAGGATGTCCCACCTCTCCATAGAGAAACAGACCCCCATCAGGGGTTCCTCACACATGGGACCTGCCAGAGTCGCCAGCTGGAAGCCACTGACGATGCTGTTGTCGAAGTCTCTGAGAGCTGGAGCTCCACCTGGTCCACCTGGATCAGACCTATCCCCCCAACCCAGGCACTGCCACACTGAGGGTCTGCTGTAGTCCTTGATGTTGTTCAACAGAATGTTGGGACCGTACCTGAAACCAAAAAAACAGAACCTGAAAAACCAGAACTGGTCCTGAGTACAGTTCAACCAGACAGTTCTGAGACGGTCT